AACCAAAATGCAACTGAATGGTCCCTCATAGAAAGGTATCTGATTGATACTGCATCATCAAAACAGAAACATTTTATTTATTTTTCAGTATTTAAACTGGAAAAACAAAAAAATCTCTCGATATTTTTTAATAATACAGTTTGTACGCGGTCATGAAAAGTTTGACGTGAACTCTTATCATGTTGAGTATTATGTTGTAGATAACTTCTTCATGCCAAGACTCATTATTATGAAAACTAAATGATTATCGCGTTTTAACTCGAAAAATAACATCTCTAATGTATCATCTTCAATGTGATTCTAGAACGTACTTGTTGGAGAATACTTCGCTTCAAACTCGTGAATATTTAAAATTGTGGACATGATTTTTCAATTAAAAAAAGTGCATAGAATAATATCGTTAATCTTATTTTTCTTCTTTTTTGTGTTGAAGTTCGTATATTGGAGGTCTCGCTTTAAGTCTCTCCGAAGTATTCCATCTTTCTAGTTTGGTTTTAATAAACTCGTTGATGTGTGTGTGTATAGAAAGTTCGGGAGGGCTGTTGATAAATTTGGCCAAATTTTAAAGTGAAAAAAAAGAAAAAGAAAAGGGTAATAGTCATTATCTCAAATTTCCACCATAGTCACACACCTTACTTTTCCAAAGATATGAAGTATGGGCTATGTCGTCTTCGAGTAGTCGCATTAATTTGCCTGTTGGGCAGCTCAAATTTGGCTAATATTTTTGTGGGGATGAAATATGTTTTTTGAAATAGAATAGCCTATACAACTTTAAGCAATTTTCTTTGTTTTGAACTCTGAAATTTTTATGATATTAATTTATACGGAAACATAATTGTTATCTCGAAAATTCCATAATATAAAATTTATTTGTCGATGTTGTTTAGACTCGTCAGTCATCACTTATTGTTTATGATTTTCATTATTTTTGCTTCATCTATTTCTATAATAAATTTTGGAAAGATGCAATTTTTCAGTTGGTATAGCTTATTTCAAAATATTCGCAGCTTTCAAGCCAAAACTTTTTCGCTCCTTTCCTAGAGTCGAACCAAGCTCATGCAACAAGGGTTTAGAAATAAATCATTTTGCTTTTAACCGTGGAAAAAAAAAAATGAAAACGAAAATGACACCCAAGGAGATGATAGTTATAAACCTTTGCCTCCTTTCTTTTGCTCCTCCATTATTGTATGAGGTCATCTCAAATGCATGCAACTCAAGTTTATTTGTAAGTTAGTTATTTTCCTAAAAAACTTCATATTAATTATGTATACAATACTTAAAAGGAGTAGCACAAGCGAAGCATTAACCTGAATATATCTCGAAAGATGGTGATTGATTTGCGAATAGTGATCTTTAAATTTAACTATTTGTTTGAGCTTTAGACGGATTAAATTACTTGCTCGTTTTTTTTTTTACTCTAATAATATATTTAGTTTCGAGATTTAATTTTAAAAGTTTATCCTTGTTTCTTTTTTATGCTATCATCTTCAAATGTCATTCTTCTTAAGAATTAAGATATAACGAAGACTCTTATATATTGACTATTATTTTCATATTTAATTGATGATAATTTTACTTTTTACGAATATATACATTTGTCTTCTCTTACAAAATAATTGTTTTTAAGTTTCCAAAAAATAATATTAATATTTGCCACTTTCGGCAATAAAGAAAATTGACAAAGATGCATAAGCATTAAATAAACGATGAGCACTACAACGAAGGCTAGATCGAATTAGTGATGATCTCTTATTTGCACCATTGTAATTGCTAAAGAAAAGGCAAAAAAAATAATAACAATAAAGAACTCAATCTCAACAAATGATGTCAACATAAGACCCTATAGGATTCAATTTGGCCATTCAAATTACTTAAAGGGCAATTTCCTATGAATAAAAAAAAAAAAATGAAAAAGTACAAAATCTATTGCTCAAAATAATGGATTCTTTGTGCATCACTGAAGAAGTCCAACATTTCCCTATTTATGGGGCCTATCGATGAGACTTATGATATGAATATCTGAATTATCTCAAACTTTTTGTTTTTCACTCTCATGAATGCGTTAAAACTTCATCTCTACCCGTATTGTATTCTTATCTTGTATATAATATTGGAAAATTTAATATAATATTATTTGTGTTCGACTCCTTATGTTACAATGTTACACTAAGTTAGGTAGCTTCTCCTTCCCTTGAGCCTGGTCCCAAGGCGGCTAGAATCATTTACACATTTGGATGAAGCGAGGAATTCGTCCATACCATCGGTAAAGTTTAATTATTCGATTGGTGATCTAACCATTCTGTACAAGAAAAATTTTTGATATCATAGATTGAGAGGATATACCTTAATTTACTAATTCCTGATTTGGTTTTTGCTGGAAATTAGATTTTAGTAGATATCGATAAAAGTTAATGACACATGTGAATGAAAAATTGATAAAAACTGTGGGTCTTATGAAGGCGTGATTAAGTTAATTGTTGAATTTGATTTAGATTTTTACTATTTTTTTAACGAAACCAAATAGGGCTAAATATGATATATGTACCTTGAAAACATTTTACTTTATTTTATTTTTTTGGTTTTAAAGATATGAAATAGTAAATTCAAGAGAGGAATACACAAAGTTTTATTTACATGTTAATATTTGTCACACAACAGACTAAATATGTCAACAAGATTACATTTGAAACAACTAGTCAATGAATAAAATATAAGTCTAGAATAATAACTAATTAATATAGTATAAATCCTCATATATGCTCTCGAAATAAGGAGTTCAAACTTGACTAGTTCTGTTATTGAACTAAATTATGATTCTCGGATTAATTCCAAACAAGCCGAATTCAGATAGTGTTTGGTAGTTACACGCTATGTTGTACATGATTATATATTTAAAAAGGTAAATGGAACAAAACGTTTTTATTATATGTCAAGACATAGTTCAATTCACCGTCCCTAAAGGTACCAAACAAGTCACGTCAGATCACTCGACCTTGAGGGTGGTTTTGTGCGGTCGACAATCTCAGTTGAATTTGCGTTTTTCTATATTTCCAACCATCTATGAGCCAAAAGTTAGTGAAAATGGTGAGATTGAAATTATATGATTGACAAGAAATTATAGCTAGAACTAGAATACGGTTGATTGGAGATTTGCAGTTAGACAGTCGAAAATCTCTTCCATAAGTTGCCCCAAATCCTTGCAGGCAATGTAATAAGATTTAGACAATAATATTCATAATTTAGTTGTATGACAAGTGTGAAGGCAACGATGCCATAATTTAATTAATAAGCATTAATAAGTTATAAATTGATTTTTTTTATTCTTGCACGTATACTCAATATTGATGATTTGAAGTGTGAACGGATAAGAATTTAGAGAATCTGCTACAATTTTTTATTTTTTGAGTTTTGACTCCTAATCATAATATGTAATGTTGTGTGAAAATCTGTCGCATTTTCTGCTTAGTCTTAGATTCTTGTTGCATGCTTCATGCCTTCTGCTGGAATGAATTAATATGTTCGTCGCGTCGATTTATATTTTATTTTTTATGTACTTTTTCATAGGTGGGTCGAACTTATTATTTCAGAATGCTTAATGTGTCTTTGTTGATATTTAAATCAAATTCAACAATAAATTCTATCACGAATTTCATGAGATATACAATTTTTATCATTTTTTAAACGTACATTTCCTAAATATTTATCTTTCTAAATTCACTAAAAATTTGATATTTAACAAAATGAAATAGGCACAAATCGTCAAAGGAAAGAAGAAAATATTTAATTTTTTTTCTTCGATTAGCTAGTGATAAAGTCATAAAGATGTGAAAAGAACTTTATCTTTAGACGTAAAGTCAATTGTCAATTGTCAATAAAACAATAATTTAGTTAAAAATAGTGACAACCTCTCCGTTGTCGAAGTGATAGTTGCTTTTCTCATTATTAAAAAAATAAAAAAAAATAAAAAAGCCTAAAGACAAAATTCTTGAAAACTACAAGAAATGATATATCTGCCACACTTTTAACTGAAAATAAAATAATAGTGTGTGTGTGTGTATATATATATATATATTTTTTTTAATTTTAATGCAAATAAGAGGTTTTAGGCAAATAAGTAATCTTTATTTTGGCGTAGGTTGGATAAAGTTGAGAGTGTTCGAATAAAATTATTAGTGACGAATAATATTATATTTCAAAAACATGTGAATAATAAATGAATAATAACTATAAATGTATGATTAAAATTAATATTTAATTTTAACTTAATAGAAATAATTACTTAATATGTTTAACAAACATATGCAATTTTCTATTGTATTTGTAAGTACTTTTAAGTCCTTATTCTACAAAATATGATTTTTTAGACGTGTCCTAAAACTGTTCTAAATATAAGCATATGCACCGATCATGGCGAAGTATATATTACATTTTCCCTATGGTAAAATAATTAGTAAGCGCAATAGGCAAAGGCATTGCATTAAAATGAAATCACATCTTGATTTAGAAATTCATAGGGAAATTGCAAGAGTCCAAGTCAAGATTTGTGAAAATATATTTGAATCCCCGTTAGAGGAAATAAACCTTAATTTTTAGGAGATTTTTCTTTCAAGGTATAACCTTAATTTTATTATAAATATTTAACTTTGATAATGCATTTGGCCCTCAACCACAACTCATTCACGGATTCTTCAACACCAATTGAATGGTCGGAAAAGAAAGGAATATGAAAAAGATAGATATGAGTATATATAAAATTACAAGAATTCTACAAGTGAGGAAATTATAGTAGCAAGTAATTCGAAGATGTAGTTCATAAAATACAAGACGACCCACAAAGTACGCGATCATAATTTTTCCTTTTTACGTCTCCACGTCGCCACACCGGAGTTTTCTTTTCGTGGAAGAAAAACTAGTCAATAAACAAATGAAGGGCCAGTTGAATAATGCTGCAAGTTTCACCCCTCCCCTTCTCAAGAACTGGTCCTACAATTTCCATTAAATAGACACCCTTAGAGGGCAAGAATTCATCACCTCAAGTGTGCTCGCAACACTTCATTTTTCTATAAGGTAGAATTCTTAAAACCTCGTAACATTACCTCAATAGAGTCGACATGGTTTGTCTCAAGGATCCATTGGTTCAAAAAATCTGCGAGTTTTACGAGAAAATTTCGAGGTTAGACAGCCTCAAACCCTCCGAAGATGTCAACATGCTACTTACAGATCTCGTTTTCACGTGCATGCCACCGTATCCAATTGACTGCACAAAATTGTGCAAGAAAATTCAAGAAATCAGGTCCAAACTCATTAGACTCTGTGGAAAAGCAGAAGGGCTCCTTGAGGAACACTATTCAACTATCTTAGGATCATTTGACAATCCTCTTGAGCATCTCCATATTTTTCCCTACTTTTCGAATTACCTTAAACTCAGCCTCCTCGAATTCAACATCCTTAGCCAACACAGCAAGGATGTCCCGAGCTGTGTTGCATTCGTGGGATCAGGTCCCCTTCCCCTTACCTCGATCGTCTTGGCCTCAAATCACATGACTTCCACCACTTTCCACAACTACGACATCAACTCATCTGCCAATTCCATGGCGTCCCACCTTGTGGAATCTGATCCCGCCTTATCCAAACGAATGATATTCCATACTACGGATATCATGAACGTTACAAGTGCTCTCAAGGACTATGACGTCGTTTTCTTGGCGGCCCTTGTTGGTATGAACAAGGAGGAAAAGGTTCGAATACTCGAGCACTTAAACAAACACATGGCACCGGAGGCGCTCCTGATGCTTAGAAGCGCCCATGGCGCGCGTGCTTTTCTATATCCGGTGGTTGAACCTTGTGATCTACGAGGATTCGAGGTTCTTTCAGTGTTTCATCCGGCAGACGAGGTTATCAATTCTGTAATCATTGCTCGTAAGTCTCCATTTTCTATGCACTCATCAATTGATCAGGGATTTGGGCCATTAATGCATTGCAGCAAATGTGCGGAGATTCGAGTTTTCAATCCCCTAAGCCAGATGAACATGATTGAGGAATTGGCAGTGGAGGAGCATCATTGTTGAAGAATCTTCTCTCTCACTATATTTATATCCCACATAGAACTTTGAATCCTTTCATTGTTTTCCATATGTTGTTACATGCTAATACATCAGCAAAATGTATCCATTTTGTGTTAATTTCAAGAAATAAGATGACTCTTGGCGATTGTTTCAGAATCCTCTCCGAAGTTACATGTAACCTAAGCATTAAAATCTAATTTTTTTTTTTTAAAGTCAAAATAAACAATTAATTTTAATCAAATATTTCATTGAACCCACAACTTTTCAATAATTTTTTTTTATCAAAATTTGCTAAAAATCTAATTTTAATCACTACCAAATAAAAGTGTAATTTTATAGGTCAAAATCAATCAATCGCAAATCTTTCAAAATGCAGTAGTGCGATTGCCACAAGGATCCATGTTATATTTTGCACTTAAATAAGTATTCGTGTGACATTCATTAAGAAAATATTGAAGGGTGGATGCTTGTTATCGAAATCATGACATTCCTGAAGAGCTTGTTGAGGGCTCTATTTGGAATAATGTTATTTAGTGCCGTTAGTGCTATAAGATCAGTTTATATGATATTAATTGTTATTAAATGAAAGTCGCATAATTTTACCTTTAATTGAGTCTATCACGCATTACTGTCTAAATTGGTGTTGTAACGTAAATGATGTTAAATAACATTATTTTAAAACATAATTTTAAGATTAAACTATTTAAAATAAAGAATATCTTCAAAATGCTTTAAAGACATGACTTAAGCCCTCGTTTGAACCCTTTTAAAACTCTTCAATTTAATTTAATTTTTTTCCTTCCTATTTTTAATTACACAATCTTCAATAAAATAATATTACACTCAAATCAAAAACTTTTTAATCACACAATTTTCAAAAGATACTATTCTCCCCATTATAAATTCAAATAATGGGGGCAAACGGGCTTATTATCCTGACCACTTTATTTTGGCACATACAAACAAAGCATATATATATATATATATATATATATATATATATATATATTTCACTTATTTATTTATTGTTACATTTGCAATTTCTTAGATTCCTTACATATCCTTTTTCTACTTGAAGATTTTAGGCCATCTCCAATCCAGCACCAAATTTTGTACCATTTTGCACCAAATCTTGCACCAAACTAAAATTCATCTCCAACCATTACACCAAAAATTACACCAAATGAACAGTATTTAACCATTTTCTTCCCTTTTTTTATTCTTTATAATCTACTTATTTGAAATATTATTTATTTAATTAATTCAGAAATACATAAATTACTTAATAAATAATTAATTAATCGTGTTTGATGTATTTTAAATTATTTTCGTCTTTTAATTAATTAATTAATTATTATGTCTTACATTTAAAATTTATTTTAAACACAAATAATTATTAATATTAATAAAAAAAATAATAATTTATTGTATTAAAAAATATATAGCACAAATTACATAAATACCCTCAACAAATTTATTTGGGAAATGTAAAATAAGGGCAAAATTGGCATTTTACACTTGTACCATTTTGGTGCAAAATAGTGCAAAGTGAATAGTGTTGCACCAAATATAGTGCAAAATGGTGTAAAGTTTAGTGTTGGGTTGGAGCAATTTTACACCAAAAAATGGTGCAAAATGGTGCAATGGTGTTGTGGTTGGAGATGGCCTTAGTCGCTAAATGAACAAATAGAATTTCATCACCATAAGCAAGTGTCAGAGCAATCTACTTTAGACATTATTGGTCATTAGAAGACAAAAAGACATATATATAGCCAGCCAATCATCCAGTATCAGATGAAATAAGATTTTGGGCTGTGCTATTCAAACAGGGACCATGACAGGCGCCACTGTTTGAATAGAATTATTCTAAGATTTAACATATTTTTGTTTGTTAAAAAATAAAGAAATATAGAAACAGGGAAAAAATCATTTTCACATCACCATCTGTTGTCTGGAATGGAGCCGTCAGTTTCTTTGATCCATGATGCAATGTTTAAACATAGGCAGGGATTCCGCTTTGCTTTTATATTTGCTTCTTATAAAAGAATTTAAAAAAAAAGTTATCTTAGATCGATTTATCTTTAAAGTTCTTATAATAAGACGAAGTACTTTTTAAAAATTATTTAAACATATTTAAAAATACTTTCTTAACTTTTCAAAAGAGAGAGACCATAAAACTTGTCCAAATTTTTCATTTTGTGGAGTTTGGAATGAAAAGCCACAATGAGTTGTAATTTGGCATGTGTTGGTGTGCTTCTAATCTTTGTGACATTAATTTTAGGTCCGTTTAATTGCAAAGATGAAATTGAATTAAATTGAAAATGAATTCCAGGGAATTGAATTACCTAAAAATTATTTTTCTGGAAATTGTAAATTATTGTATTTGATTGGTATAATTTTTCATATGAAAAATGTTGAAATAAAAGTGTTTTTTAATGTTTGTTTGGTTTTATTTTACATGAAAATTGTCAATTAAAGAAATAGAATTTACTTGTATTGGGGATGAAATTTGTTTCCATTGCGGAAATTTTTTTTCTAGAAAATCATCTATCTTTTAGTGTCCGTTTGGCTTTGTTTTACACGGAAATTGTCAATTAAAGAATTTTTTTTTTTTTTTTTGACATTAACTCTTAGAACTTGTTTCCATTTCCAAAACCCAAAAAAAAAAAAAAAAAAAAAGTTGGAATTTGAAAAACCACCATACCCATGGGAATTCATTTTCCCTAAAAAGCTGGAATTGGCACCCGTGTGAGCACTATTCATGAAAAACAATTGCCTGGAAAAAATGATGTATCAAACACCCAAAAAAGTCGGAAATGAAAAAGAATTTCCATTTTCTATGGAAAATATATTGTATGGAACGGTGCCTTAGTACATTTGCTACATGGTCATTTTACATCATTAGTTAGATAAGATCGTCTCTAAGTTTTCGGCGCTTGTTTGATAAGAAATTTTTTTAGAATGATTCTTTGAAAAGTGTTTTCTAATACGTGGCTAAAAAGTAAAAATGATTTTTTTTTCTTTTGAAAAATGTGAATAAAAATGCCAATGTGCCTAAAAAGGAATGTACCGCAGGATGAGCAAGAGGATGTCTATATGTCTCAGGTCATCGAATATGGAGACGAACTCTAATGTAAAAGAAGGTTCTCACTCGACTAAAAATTGAGTTCATGAAAATTTTTCTGTTTTTTGACACAATTTCAAACTTGAAATTATCTTAGTATCCCAACTGCACTAAATTAGGTTTTCTCCAACGATAAAAACAAAACAGACTAGAAAATTCATAATCAAAATCGTTTTTAGTTATCCATGACGACAAAGTGCAGCATTACCAAGTCAACTGGACTTCATTGATTGAAAGTAACACTAGAAACCAGTCGATAATGACCAAACAAGTTGTTTTCCATTGTTCACATAAGATTGAAACCGGTGCACAGTCAAGTCCTTTGGATACATTCAAGTTGCACATGCTATGCTATCATCTGAAAGGTAAGTAACTAGCTAGAATGCATACTTTTTCACATATCGTCGTGTATTCAAGTGCCATCATCTCCAGTCCCACCTCCATCAAAGTACATGGATCCTGCATTGCCACCACTAACGCCTTCCATAACAGCAAATCGCATGTCCTCAGATGGTCTCCAGTGTCGCTTCCTTTGGTTTATGAACCAATTGTTGATCTGCTTCTGGTCTAACTGAGTAATCTGCGATAGCCTATTTTTCTCCTCTTCCTGTAGAGCACAGAAGATAACATAGAAATTGTACGAAATTGCTGGAAACCGGGAGTTCACATGAATGTATTGATATAAACTTAGAGAACTTGACGTAGCGGAAGATTATAGGGAAGATGAACAATCACAAAATGAGAAAACTCTTAAGAAAATTTTTATTGAATTCAAGAACTGCCGCCTCAAAGGACTTCCAATGCCTTAAATAGAAAAAAACTAGCAAAATTCGAAAAATAGAATAAAAAGATATTTTTTTCAAAATTAGAAAAATACGAGACAACTATTAAGATGGAAAATCCTTATTTTCAAGATCATCCTCTAACAAACGGAATACAAATCCAAATTTTATGGAAAGAGATATTGCAAAAACAAAATTTACCATAAATAGCAAAAACGCCTAAACGAGGGCCTAAATGATGGATTTTGTCCAAAATTGGCCTTGCATCAAGATCGAAGGCACTGTGTTTTATTCATTGGCTAGATTCTAATCGAATTAGACTAGCAATTCGCCAAAAACAAACAAACTCGAAGTTATCATGAAATCAAAAATCATTATTTTGCCTTGCGACGGTCCCATTTCATCATAAACTCTAATCCCTTATGCACTTCATCAGAACTTCAAAGTATATCTTCCTTTGAAGTCAAGTATCATTCCCAATAGTACAGAAAAAAATTCAAACAGATTTTCCATTTTGATTTGAACATAATCTAGGAGATTTCTACAATAAAAGCTATCAAGAGGGAATGAGATAAGGTACTACAACGACATGAACTTTGATTGATAGTAAAACAACCGATTTTCTAGACCTAATTTTAACTTCTTAAATTCTCGAGATATATTCTTACAACATTTTGCAATAGAATTCATAACTAAATCCCACGAGGCGGACAAGCAATGAGACGTAGCTTATTGACTCCCCGAACAATACTACAAGAATCAGTATTGGCTCCTTTCATTCAAAAAGTGAATATTATTTACATATCTTGAACTTTAGGGGCTGTATAATGTTGTCAAAGTTGATAAAAGCTGGAGGAATCCCATGAGATGAGGTGAAAAAGTGGATTAAACTTGCAGGTCCAATGAAATGCGTGGTTAAAAATGAAGTTCAAAAGCTTTACCAAACAAGCAGTTAATTCCTGAAAGTTACTTGAATGGTAAATTATTTAGTCCACAGCCATTGTCCACGGTGGTTAATTCTTTTTACTTTGCCAGTCGATGAACTCTGCACTCCATTTTGAAAACTATTAAGTTGAGTGCATGGTCGACATGGATAATACACAGGACCTGTCTAGTACACATTATGGGACAGTAGTGCACAGCATTCCAAATGTGGCAAATACGAGATGAATTTGACATTACCGTGGGATATGGCCACCGGTAGTGTTTGTTCCACCAGTCCAGCAATACATTCCTTGTATCCTTTGGCAATTTGCCTTTCTTCCTTCTCTTTGAGAATTCCTGTCTCAAATTGCTAAGATAGCCACTGTACTTGCGCATTAGCATTTCTTTGAGCTCCTGTTCACCTTGACGGGTATCAGTAGATTCTTGACTATCAAAAGCTTCAAACTCTCCATAGCTCATATTCCCACCATAAGCAACACCTGCATCATCTGATAACCAAAAATGGTTAGTGAATGAGAATATGCAAAAATCACATTCATTTCCAATCAAGTGTGTGCAAGTAAAGAAATGTATAACATTCTAAATATGTCCCAATATTAAGTTCACCAATATCCAATTTCAAGCCTACAAAATTTATCATGCGCATGATAAATGATGCAGACGATGTGCAAAGATGAATAATGCAAATCCAAATTCGTTGAATCTTCAATATTTCTAAATTGGGTTTACAAAAGTGTGAGAAATTTCATGTTTTCTTTATTGAGCTGCTAATAATCCAGAGAAGTGACGCTAGGACGCCTACATGAGTTAATTAAAACGCTCTTTAATTAGTAAAAGCCAACGATGAAAAAAATAAAGAACAATAAAACAGTAAAAAGGTATCAGCTGAGCCCTCCTTTGTCATGCTCCATCTTCTCCAAATATGATAAGAGCTTCCTCCTCCATGCCATTAATAAATCAATATAGGTGTATGTTGTGGCAATTGGCAAGTAAACTAAATACTGAAGATTACTGTACTTATAGTCAATTATGTACCGAGACAATCACAATTTGTTTGGGGATCATAATTAAGTTGAACGGGGTGCATCCCGCGTTGGAAACGTAATTTGCAATTATTATCTAGATTCATGAATTATAATTATACATGCATTTGTCCATTAATGTACTAGAGGAGGAGAAACGTATCTATTCAATGTTGGTTCATGAGTTAGGCTAGATACATGTTAAATCTTATCTATAAATACCCATGTAACTCAAGCCATTAAAAGATTGAAGTCACAAAAATTTACAATATAATATCTTATCTTCCACAATCATAAAAAAGTGCAGCAGCACTATATTACGTATAATTTCGAGCATTCGATATTTCTTCTTTTTCATTCGGTTTTTAATCAATCCTTAACAAATTTTTTGGTATCAGAGTTTAGTTCTCTATACGTATCTCAAATTTTATTTCCCCTCTCCAAAGCATGGTAGCAAATCATGTTTCTACATCCATGTTTTCCTATCCTCCTAACCAAGTTCCCATATTTGAAGGAGAGCATTTTGATTATTGGAGTAGTCAAATGGAGACACTCTTCATTTCGCAAGATTTGTGGGAAGTTGTTGAAGATGGATTTCCGGAACCTGATGATAATGAAGAATAAGAAGAAGAATGGACGGAGGCTCAACAAAAAGATTACAAGAAAAATTTACGGAGAGATGCAAGTGCTCTTGGATTTATACAAAAAGGATTAAGCAAGACCATATATCCTCGAATTCACGGTGTCAAAAGAGCCAAGCAAGCTTGGAATATCTTAAATGAGGGATTTCATAGCAATGACATGGTGACATCTCTAAAGCTTCAATCTCTTTGGAGGGAGTTCGACAATTTATCAAAAAAAGATAATGAAGTTATGCAATTCTATCTAACTCGAGTCTCCGAAATAGTAAATCAAATCAGAAGCCTTAGCGACACAATTGAAGAAAAAAAAGTTGTTCAAAAGGTCCTTCGAAGCCTTCCCACGAAATATGATTCTATTGTCGCCGCTATTGAAGAATCAAAAGATTTGTCTAAATATACTTTTAACGATTTGATGAGTTCCCTGCAAGTACATGAAGAAAGAATTGGCAGGTTCTCAAATCAGCCACTTGAGCAAGCATTTGAGTCCAAAATGAAATTTTATAATTCAAATTCTAAACAGCGGCAAGAAGGCAGAGGAGTATCTTCCCAAGGAAGAGGAGAATCATCACGAGGACGAGGAGGATCATTTCGAGGAAGAGGAAAGGGAAGAGCACAAGGCAACCAATCAAAAAACTATGACGGAAATCCAAATCGTCAAGCTGGAAATGCAAATATTTTTTGCAAAATTTGCAGAAAATCAAATCATGAAACAAATGATTGCTTCTACAAATGCAAGAGATGTAGAAATCCTAACCACTCTCAAAGAGATTGTTATTTGATAAGTGTATTTTATACACTTATTCGGGACTCTAAACTATATAATTTTATTGTTCTTTTGGCAAAATATGATCTAAATTTTATTGTATTATTTTTCTTAGGTAAAACTCATGTTTGAACGAAGAATTGAAGAAAGACATAAAAAGGGCGAAAAATGGAACAATCTAAAGTAGTGGACTAAGTTGGACGTTGGATGGAAGTTGGAGATCAAATTTTGCACATTAAAAGAATTGAGGACTTGAAGAAAAATAATCTATTACGTGGGCCTCAATTGGACTTGTCCTGGAATTCAAATTTAATATTATTTTGGATCCCTAATTGGGCTACAATAAGGGTTTACTTGTTGAGGTATATATATACAAACACATGTAGAAAAAAGAAGGGAGTAGCCTGGGGGAATAAATAGATATACATTGTCGGCTGCTAAGAGAGAAAAAGCAGGAGAATTCTGCCTACTGCTAAATTAAAGATACATACACTTAAGGCTGGGAATTGAGCTTTGGGGTGGCCAATTTAATATATTGATACGCACAGAAACCAAAGCCGGGTGAAGGAGGCAGCTGCCTTGGAATTCAATTCATAATATACGCACAAGAAACGACAGTCTGGAAAAAAAAGGAGAGGCAACCATTATTATAATTTTCACACACATTGAGGGGCTGCCGGCTGGGGTTGAATTCTATTATTTGTATTTACACATTGGTGCCGGCAGATTGGAGAAAACACGAGCAGAGATTAGAATTAGTTTGTAAAATAAAAACTGGTCGGCTGCTGGAGGAAATTGGAGAGGGTGGCAGCCAATATAATTACATGCAAAAACAAAGACAACCACTATTTTTATATAATTTTACACATTGACGGCTGGTCGGCAGTTTTGGGTGAATCAATTAGGCTGCCTATATTATATATTTTCCAACACATTTTTGGGGCTGAAAGAGAGGAGAAAAACGAAGCAGAAAGCAGCTGGTGGAGAAGACAGAAAAAGAGGCATTGGGCTAACATCGAATTGTGGAATTAACAATAAAAGTGGCAGATTACTTGGAGACAGACCGAACGTGGCAGGGAGATAAAATTCCAGATTTTTTTTGGTGCAAATAATTCGTCAAGGATTGTGCCAAAAATTTGAGATTAATTACGTTTCGTCAATAATCGGTGATGTCGTTCCACTTTTATTTATTTAATTCTCGCATCATGTTTGGCTAATCCTTTTCACGTATTGGATGATGACAAAATTGTTTAATTTTTAGTTTTAATTCGAGACCTATGTTTTTATGTTAATTATTGCGTTGTGATTCCAATAATATGCTTAATTAGATTGTTCTAATGTTTGCGCACCATTAGGATGATAAGTTGCTTTTTCGTAGTGTTGAAAAACTCACGATAGGTATAACACTATTATTGGGACACATGAACAATAAATATTAGGAATAATATTTGTGGCTTGTGCAATCTTATATGATAATCCTAAATGTTAATGCATGTTTGCCATATGAATTCGGACTAGGAATAGGTTCGTCTCGTGGTAATCATAGGTTTATTATATATTGGGAAAGAATAATAAATAAATAAATAAATAACGAAATCATCGATCGTCGCAATTTCATAAATTGAGATAATTATTATTGGTTGAGAATTAGAACTAAGAATTAATCAATGGCGTCGGGAATCCAATACGTTTACACATTTTGAATTTTTAAACCAAATTTAATTATTTTCACAAGTTTTAGTTATAAAAATCATTTAGCTATTCCCTCGATCGTTTTTTTTTACAAATACGAATTAACTATATGAAATATACTAAAATTGATCCTTATTCCCTATGGGACGATAATTCTCTCATCACGATTATTACTTGTACAACGAACCCGTACGCTTGCGGGAATCTGACGAACATTATTACCAGAACAAAGATGAGAAGGATGAAGCAAACTTTTCCAAAGATGAAGATGAACAGCTTTTCTCTTGTATGACGGCTCAACAACAATCAAAAAATATGTGGTACCTAGACAGCGGCTGCAGCAGTCACATGACTGGAAATAAAAAAAATTTCATTGATCTTGATGAGAATTTCAATTCAAAAGTGAAGCTTGGTGAAAGTTACATAGCACTGAAGGAAAGGGAACTATCACTGTTCAAACTAAAGGAGGTAACAAAAAGCTCATTGGTGATGTTCTTTATGTGCCTAATTTGACTAGTAACCTCCTTAGTGTTGGACAACTGCTACGCAAAGGATATTCTGTTATTTTTTTATGATGAAAAATGTAGAATATTTGACAAGAAAAGGAATTCCACCATCGCCACAGTTTCTATGAGCTTCAATAAGGTGTTTCCCATGAATATGCCACTTCAAGAAAAGGTGGCTTTCACAGGTGAAAATTTTGATCAATCTCAACTTTGGCATTTGAGATACAGACATCTTAATATCAAAGGGTTGCAACTTCTCAAGCAAAAGAATATGGTGATTGGACTCCCAGAAATTGAAGCAAAAACTCAAGTTTGTGAAGGATGCATCGACTTCCCTTTCCAAAAACATCTTGGAGAGCTAGAGAACCTTTGGAGGTTATTCATAGGATATTTGGGGCCCTTCGAGGACTCTCTCTTGGAAACAAAGGGTATTTCATTTTATTTGTCGATGACTATACAAGGATGATGTGGGTTTATTTTCTAAATGAAAAGTCCGAGGCTTTTTCTGCATTTCTCAAATTCAAAGCTCTAGCGGAAAAACAATCTAGTCATCAAATCAAAACCCTTCGGACAGATTGTCGAGGAGAGTTTATTTACACTCTGTTTATGGAGTATTGCAAAGATAATGGTATTCAGAGACAGCTCACTATTCGGAGGAGCCCCCAACAAAATGGGGTAGCCGAGCGAAAAAATCGCACCATTGTTGAAATGGCTAGAAGCATGATGATTGGCAAAAGTCTACCCAAAATATTTTGTGCGGAAGCGATACACAACTATTTATATTCTGAATCGATGCCCAACAAAGGCCGTTCAAAACCGAACACCGTTTGAAACTTGGCACAAGAAAAAGCCCGTAGTTGATCA